AAACCAAAATGTGGGAACTGGATAACTAAGTCAGGGATTGGTCGACACCTTTTGTACCTCGAAAATCAAACATAAATATTATAAGCCAATGAAGTATCTACAGTCTCTCCAACAAATCACTTCGAGCTACTTTGGGGATGTCGACTGATGATTTCTGGAAAATATGTACAACTTGTGTTACTCTGCATCACATCAACACATGGGATGTAAAAGTTCTACACATCTGAACAGCACATTACCATGTGTGACACCCACATTCAGCTCTGATGTGAAATCCATCAAACCTTTCTCTCTAAGAAGATGCTTTGCAGCCTGTGCAACACAATAGTGTAAAAAATTAATATTTTAGTTTTCTGTAGTATATATTATGTAATTTAAAAAAATACAGGAATTTTTACCAGAAGACTTGAGGAACTTTTTGGATGCAAAAAGCTGCTCTTTTAAGAGAAATGATGATTTCTGAGTGCAAACTATTTTGGACCTTTTCTTCTACAGTGTATCACTGGCAGAGGCATCTAGAACGGTCAAACTAATTAGTCGTGTTGCTCCATGTGGAGGTAGCAGCTGCAAGGCACTGCTGACAAACAACCTGTTTTTGGTCAACATCATCCTTTCTGTAGCCAAATGATTTCCATACAGGTGACTAGGGCCGCACAACTAGAGCTAAAATGATACTCATGATCATTATATTGATGATCAGCCTGTTTACCACAATTATTCATTGTTTCAGACACAATGCATTATTTATTGCACTTTGACGTGGACACTAACAGAGCACTGCTCTCACTTCCATGTTGTGCTACATTCCTGCTAACGTACAAATCTGCATCAAAATAGATTTGGTTCTTCTTCAGCTGAATTCAGAGCATCTCCTAGAGGCAAAATATAAACCAAGCTGTAGCCAGATATCTCCCTCACTGACCATCTGCTCATAGACACACACTACAGCTGCTCTCTGTTTGCTGAAGCCCTCACCTGCAGGCCAGGTAGAAGCCGGCTGGTCAGCTGGGCACAGAGAAGCCTCTAGTCTCCACTCAGCTCCTGCAGCAGCTCAGACCAGTGAGTGACCTGCAGCTGCTCTACAGAGAGTGACAGAAGGCATTCTGATGTCACAGCAACACAAGCTAACACCAAGTGATTATATTTACACGCGTGTGCTGTTCATTGTGAGCAGAGGTTTTTAAAACAAAGCACTTAAATGCTTTGAATACTGCAGTCAGTCACGCTTGTTTAATTGCAGGAAGCCAAAATGGTGACTGTGATAAATATTCCATGACTTTTGCTGCCCTACAGCTGACATGTAGATCTTCCTTTTCATTGTTCCTCTCCTGATCCTCACTCATGTCGATGTGGACCAACGGAAACCAAGAAAACATACCAGCCAGTCAAAGAACACTTAAAAATGACGACCCAATAGACAGACTTCTCTTGTAGACAATCATGGAAAATGAAAGCTGCAAGTTTTCTTCTTCTAAAGAACGTTGAAGTACAACGTGTTTGAGCTGCTTTACTTTACTTCCTGTAGTGTCTGTTGATGCTGAAACGATATATCTCGCAGTCCGTAATTCTTTGTATAACCTCACCACCAAAATCACATCAGCTGCTGTCCATAAACTTTATGTAGCAATATTAGGTTGCATAAATCTTTACAGGACTTTATTACTGTAAGAAGAGCAAATATGATTTATTATTTCCACCCCTGATTACAAGCTGGTGTCTGGATACGCTCTGAACTCCAAACATATCAGCTCTAGTGTCCGACAATGAAACTCAACCGAGTCAGTCAGCAACAATCAGACTGTCATAGAATGAGCCAGTCTGGAAATGCTTAGCTATTAACCATTATATATTAAACTTCTGTTACCCTGGACATGCCCCTAATGTATGGCCTCCTGTTGTCCAGACTACAGTGTTCATACAAACAGCATCAGTTCAAATCAACATCTATGAATACTGGTGAAAAATGTGTATGCATTTATTCATTAAATGTTTTCCAGTCAGAGTAAAATCACATTTAAAACAGCAGTGCTCCCTTCATTCAGTGACAGAGGTGCGCTTCCATAATCAGAATGCAGACGCAGTCGTCTGATGTGGTTGTGTTCTGTGCTGGTCCCTCTTGTTTTAAACGAAATGATTCGAGTGTCCTGATAGGAATCTGTTAGGTGCAATAAATCCAGTGAGGGACATGCTATCACACAGTTCCAATTAACTCCAGTAAATGACTTGTTTATCATCTTTTCTTCAGTTCGGTAGCACTGGATCAGCACACAGTATGAAGGACAACAGCAGCGGTGTGGGAGGGAATTTATTGATCAACTCGTATTTATGTTTTGGTTTATTTCTCCCCAATTTACTGGAGAGACCAAAGTCCAAAGACATCAAATCACATTTCTACATGTTGCCCGTCTGACGTGTTCTGAATACAAACCGTGTGTTAACTGTCCAACAACGCCGACCCGGCCCCTCGTCTTTACAAGTCAACATGTTCTCCTCGGCCTCGTCACTCACACAACAGCAGTTTCAGAGTCAGAGCCTCTCTCCGGTGAAGGGGCATTAACTTCCAGAACATCTCCAGTGATTACATCCTGATGAGTGCATCACCTGAAATGTGGCCGTTTGATGCCGCCGGGCCTGAACTGAGGAAATCAATGAAGCATTGGACTGAACAGGCTTGTTTGCTTTCCCACCATACATCCCCCTGAGGGTCGGCCTCCACGCTCATTAATGAAGACAAACAGCCATAACGCTGATACACCGCGTATCCGGTGACAGACGGAGATATCGATCGTCTAAAGGTTATTGACTCATTAGGCGCAAGTGTCTAAATCTGAACACTTAATCCTCAGTGAACTTACTGACCAGAATGTGAACAGATAATCATAGTGTGGCCAGAAGACCTCGTCGATACTTTGGTTGAAATGTGCTGTGATTGTCTGGTGAAAGCTATGCATCTCCAGTGAAGCTGACTTTTAAGGCATGGAAGACGTTCTTCTAATCGAATGCTCATACAAGAAACTGAATCTCAAAGAATGTCTTGAATATGCAAGTCACCATGGTTACAGATGGTTTGATTCACTTCATACCCTCATGGCAGGGTGCCAGTGTCAGAATGAAGCTTCTAAGTCTGACCCAATAAATAGGGAAACACTAAAACTAGGGCTGGGACTTTTGACGCGTTAACTACAGTTAATTCATTAGAACAAAGCTAATGCATTAAAAACATTCATGGCTATCCAGGGCTGCTAGCGCTAACAGCTCCGGCGGTTTCTGTGCTCGCTGCTCTGCGTTCAGGTGGTACCGTCAGCTGGAGGTGCTTCGGCGGGATGTAAATTCTGTTTAGCACCAAACCAGGTTCTGGTCCAGGCTTCCATCAGGCAGTTTGTTTAAAATGAAACTTGGCCTCCGTCAGTCCAAGCGATGCGCTCTCATCGGGTTCCTCCATGTTTGTTGCTGTTAGCGTAGCGCTGACGCATCATGTGATCGGTGGACCATGACATCAGCGCTGACCAACGCTCCGTGTTGTCAGGATGCAAACTGAGATTAAATGCGTAAAAAAATTTTCACGCGTTATTTTTGTTGTAATTAATTAATCGTAATTAACGCGTTAAGGTATATTAGGGGTGGGACTTTATGTATATGGTAATTAACGCGTTAAAGTCCCACCCCGAGTTAAAACACCAAACAATACTTAGATGCACATTTACAGATATGAAAATTCACTGCTTTTCTATGGTGTCCATCATTTCAAAGTAACACCCTGCACTTATTTAATTACTGGGATGATAACTAAGCACAGGTCTGGACGACTTAGTTGATGAGTTGATTGACTGAAAATGAATCATTGAAGCAGCAAAGTATTGTCTAAATGCACTCCTGGTTTCTGTTCACATGTGTGATTGTGATTATGTTTGAGATGATTGTAAACGTTTTACCAGCACATTTAAAGGATTCGACCAAAAGAAAGCAATTTGAAAACGTCTCTTTACATCATTTGTGATGGTAGTTTTCACCACTTTCTAACGTTTAACAGCTCCAGATGAGTCAGAATGCTAACATTAATGAATCGACAAACACATATCAGTGAGAATAATACCGGGCAGCATCCCTGCTTGGCTCTAGCGCTCAGTGTGCCATTACTGCTGATCTTCTGAGACTCGGACTGCAACTAACAATCATTTTAATTGTGGATTAATCTGTCCTTTATGCGCAGAGTGTTTCATTAAGGTCTGACTAATGTAAACAGGCTGTAGTTCATCGCTCAAACTATTTCCAAAATGCGTTTCTAACAAGAAAAGCAGGATTGAGTTACCGTGAAAACAATTAACAATCATCTGACCTGAACATTCAACATGTAGTCAGATATTATGAGACGTTATCAAATGTTAGTTTATCTAATTAACAGGTTAATGAGCTCCATGACCTACAATCACTGAAGAACGGGAGCCGCGTGAAGGACCGGCGTCCTCCCGGCGCTCGCTCCCGCGGCTCGCTCGCGGCGTGTCACCGTGCAACTGTTGCCGCTCGGCGCGTGCCACTGGATGCATCCGCGTGCTCACTGCCGGCACGCGCACCAACTATAATAAGCATCTTAAAAAAAAAAAAAAAAGACAATCAGGGCCAGACTGTTTATCCCGGTCCGGTCCAGGAGAACCCCCAGAGGAGACCTTGGCCGACCCCGTGTGCGGTGAAGCCTCTCCGCCGGTCCGGAGCCTTTAAAGCGCCGCTATGCTGCTTTCTGTACGTTTGGACGGAACACAGTAAATGTGCTGCGTTGCTACCCGCACTCCGGATTACCACACACACACACACACACACACACACACACACACACACACACACACGCTACACAAAGGCCTCGGTGGATATTTAAGCACAAGGACTTTCTAAGGTTATGATAACAAGTGGAAACTAGACACTAACGGTGCTGAAGCTCGGTGAGGGGACGCGGGTTAAAGCAGCAGCACCGCCGGAGCGCCGAGCTGAGCTCGTCACTCACTCACCTGATGCAGACAGGCTTCCAACTGCTGCCTCCAGGACCAGTCAGTCCATGAACCCGGAGCAGCGAAGCCCCGGTGCTGCTTCACAGGGAGACGGCGGTCCGGAGGGCGCTCATCACAGCTCCACTGGCGCAGAAATGCCGCTCACTCGCTCCGTGGAGTTGCAGCTTTATCGGGATGCTTCAGCTGTCAGCCCCGGAGAGCAGCGGCAGCAGCTGAGCCCGTGTGCGTCCTCCCGGCAGGACGAGGACTTAAATCTCAGACAGGTTTGTGGCTGCGTCGCCACACAGCAGCCGGAGTCTCATTAAAGCAGCGGCGGCTCTGGATTACTGTGACCAGCAGGCAGCGACGCTCGGTCGGAGGGAGAAACTGGCGCGACGGCGGCAGACAGCGGCAGCGCGGAGGCTCACACGGCGCTCCGCTCCGGCTCGGCTCCGGGAAAACACCTTCCGAGCGTCCGGCAGACTTTAAATCCGTTCCCCTGATATATCCCAGCAGCACCCAGGTCCTGGTTGTGTCTGAGTTTTCGGCCTCAACACAGCAGCTCTTTCTTCCTGACAAGCAGCCAGCGTCCAATCAGAGCCCGGCGCTGAGAGACGGGCCGCGGGAGAAGAAGGAGTGGATCCGCGCGGAGCGGAGTCTCTGCTGGACCTGAGCCGGAAGCAAAGGCTGCTCACAGCCCCGTTAGCCCAGAGCAAGCAGGGAGCCGTGGGCCGCAGTGTGCACACTTACATTCACATTTATTTGGGGATATACTGTCTAATAGAAACTGCAGCATTCAAAGCTTTGAAGCAGAGATGTTCAGAGTCCTTCCAGAGCCAGGAGCCTGATCAGCCCTCAGCAGCAGCCCTGGAGCCCATCACAGGGATGTGGACATAGTCACAGAACAGGACCTCCATCCAGTAACTGCTACTTTTCTGACAGAACTTTATGACACAGGCTCTGGCAGACTCTTGAGCACAAAGGAAACCATGAATTGGCGCTGGGCGAAGGCAAGCAGCAGGCCGAGCCACCGCACCCAGCTTATAGGGAACCACTACGGAGGGTTCCTCCATCTTTGTGTACAGTATGTGGTTCTTGTAAAGAAAACTATGAGGAAACTATCATTGGAGTGAAGTGAAAGTCTCCTCTCTGGACTTCAGACGCCTCAGATGTGTAGCGTTAAAGTCACTGACACCAAACACACCCGTCTTTACTCCTAGTTATTGATCTCCTCCACCTGGAATACTCTGACCTGGGATAGAAGCTTAGCCACCATTTTTCTAAGTTTTCCACATGTGACACATTCAGTGTAGAGGTCAATGACGTAGCTGTGATTAAATTAAAGCAGCACCTGTTGTGCTTCTTTTTTGTTGCAATGGAATTTGGAGCTCGAGCTGACAGCATCCAGCTGAGGCACTGACTCACTGTTACTAGCTGGTTGTTCAGTGCAGATTCTAGATTTGATCAGGCAGAACTCCATCCATCCATCCATCCGTTATCTATACACATTATCTATATACAGAACCCGGAGAGAACCCACGCTGCACGGGGAGAACATGGAGACTCCACGCAGAAAGATCCCGGGTGTCCTCACCGGGACGCCAACCGATGACCTTCTAGCTGCGAGGCGACGGTGCTAACCACTGAGACACCGTGCAGCCCTCAGGCATACCTAAAAATGTTTTGTTTTTTCCCCCACACTCTGGACTCATTGTTAAAGACGAGATCATTTAATTTGTTATATCCACAGAGTCCAAGGTAGTTCAGTCGCCCTACAGCACTGCAGCTGTTACTGTGTAGGACTTAAAGGGTTAAAAGAGCCCACAACCAAGAGAAGTCCCAGCCCAGTCTGACTCCAACATGTTTAATAACTCAGCTGGCCAATGGTACAAAACAACAACAACAACAAAAAGAAATAGAAAAAAGGCGGTCAAACAGGGAGATGGCGATGAGAAAACAGCTGGAGCTCTGTGCTTACTGTTTGGGTGTCATTCAACTCAAACCTACAAGTCGTAGATCAGTAATAAGAACGGTGCCACACTAGACCTGTACCAGCCCCTCTCCAGCCTCCTGATGCAGACTTTGTTGTTGTTTTTGTTTTGTTTTTGCTGTGCAGAGCAAAAGAAACTTATGAGTCACATGACATAAAATGCATGAGTCACGTGACATGGATGCAGTACAACAAATGTAGACATCTCACAATTCTACCGTCTCTATAGTGAAACTAAATGTGGACCATCCTCCATGAGGCTTTTTCGGACTGGAGCTGAACCAGTGGACACTCACTGAGCAGTGGAGGACAGTCACACTTACAATGCAGACTTCAGTTCACTCACAGTTTAGAACATCTTTGGACTGTGAGAGGAACCAAGGGGAAGTCACCTCAGGCACAGGGAGAACATGCAAACTCCACACAGAGAGGTCCGGCTGAGCAGCAGGTGTGAAGCCTCTTACCATGAAGTGACATGTCAGGACTGTGTTGTCATCCACACAGGTGATTCTCAGGACTTTGACTGATTCGGCCTCCTCTCATGTGCGGCTGGACAAACATCGCCTTTTATTCATACTGATACATGGAGTGCAATAGCTTCAAGGAAATCTTTAGCATCCAACCTTCAACCTGAGCAAAGCTCTTATCAGTGGAATTAATAAAGGCTGTGAGAATATCGCTGATCTGCAGTTATATTCCATCTGTTTAGAGCCTGGCTGCAGGTATAGCATGATGGAAGACACATTTATATGCTTTGCTAAAGATATTCAAATTATCAGTGGTATCTTATAAAAAAAAATTTAAAAAAATGACATAAAAGTGCTTCGTATTCAGGCTGGAACCTCCATCCATCCATCCATCCATCATCTCTACACCTTCATCCTCACCAGGGTCATGGGGGGCTGGAGTCTATCCCAGCTGACTCAGGGTGAAGGCAGGTTCACCTGGACAGGTAACCAGTCTATCACAGGGCTACACTTAGAGACAGACAACCAAGCACACTCACATTCACACCTACGGACAATTTACAATCACCAATTAACCTCAACATGTTTCTGGACTGTGGGAGGAAGCCGGAGAACCCGGAGAGAACCCACGCTGCACGGGGAGAACATGGAGACTCCACACAGAAAGATCCCGGGTGTCCTCACCGGGACGCGAACCGGCGACCTTCTTGCTGCGAGGCAACAGTGCTAACCAACTGCACCCCCTTGCAGCCCAGGCTGGAACCTGCCAATGTTATATTTTATGGACTATGACTGATGCATAAACCTCTCAGCAGTGTGAATGTTGTAGCTTCTCTGGCAAGAGCAGATTCCACAGACATGATGTGTTTCTGTTAATGATTTAAAGGACATGTTTTGTATGAAGAACCCTAAAGTTTCTGTACATCTGTAGTCTGTCCACACAGGTGTGTTCATCTGTGATGCATAAAGCATGTAGACATAGAATGTGTGGTGTGAGCACATTGATAGCAGAGTAGCAGGTCCTGGTGTCCTTTGTAGAATGAGAGCCATTACCACCACCTGCACAGACAGCTGGACTGATTAATATCGGAGCGTATCTGTTCTGTCAGACACACGAGATGGATGGTTGAAGAACGCCTCCTGTTTAGACATGCTATGACTGCACCACTTCTCAGTGCAGCTACATAAGTCAAATGTAGGGGTGTAGAAAGTACAATATTTTCACATGAAAACAGTGCAGTAATTGAGTACATGTACATACTTACAGCACTGTGCTAATCCTACAGTAACCTTATTATGAAAACAACTGAGCACCTAACAGAATGTATGGAATTATTAGTATACGGAAATTATTGGAAAAGAAATTATATTTGAGATTTCACATAAATAAAAGATATTTCAAGAAGCTGGCAGCTCATATGATGATCCATTACTGAATGGGGTCATTCATACAGATGTTCTACATGTGACAGTGGGATACAGGGGTACTTTAGAAACTTCTTGGCCATCCCTGGAAACAGAGGGTGGCACTTCTATTTTACAAAGCCTAATCTCACTGCCCGCAAAAACTCGTGTTCTAAGAAGATATGAGATGAAGCAATGCCCCCGTCTACACAACACAGAAACTGCACAGTGTGGCTTTGACCTGTTGCCTCGTGCACCTCACTCACCCGACCGCCATGAATTTCATGCATGAATTATTAAAAAACCAAAGGGGGCTTTTTTCCTTACAGTTTTTTTAGTACTTCCAAACAAGTCTTAAAACTTGTCCAATTGTATTTTTTTCCCCCAGTATCTATTATTTTGAGGGGGATATTGTGGTAAACACCATGCATCAACAAAGACATCACGAGAAACTTCCTCAGCTGATTACTTAAAGT